GATATCTGGGGAATATCTGGGGGAGTATCTGGGGATATCTGGGGGGATACCTGGGGATACCTGGGGGGATATCTGGGGATATCTGGGGGATATCTGGGGGTACCTGGGGGGCTCAGATCCTCGATAACCCCCCCATGCCCCCGTCCCCAGGCCAGCCCTGGCTGCGGCTGCACCACGAGGGGACCCTGAGCGCCGAGGGCCGCCGGGAGCTGCAGGCCGCGCTGCGCCTCGGCCCGGAGCCGCCGCCGGAGCCGGCGCCGCTGGTGGCCGAGACCATCCTGCCCCCGGGAGCGCTCCCCGGGCCACACCGGGACCCGAAATAACACGGGGCCATGTCACGGCCATGTCACTGCCATGTCCGGGCCATGTCACTGCCATGTCCGGGCCATGTTACAGTCACGTCGGGGCCGTTATGTGTAGTAAATATAATTCACGCCATTCCTTGTGTTTTGTGTTGTCAGAACTCAAAACATCCCTCAGACATTTTTGGAGGTTCCAGGCCTTGGTCAGAAGCATTTGAGACCCTGGCAGGCAAACAGCTGTGATTTTGAGTTTGAACCATGGAACAATTGACCAACCTTGCAGGAAGAACAAGAAGTCACAAAAATTTAGATGTTATAGTAGAAATCGTTACAAAACAGAGGGAAATTTTTTAGTATTGTACAGGGGGGTTCTAGCACCTGTCCAGGGGGGTTTTTACTTTGTACATGGGGGTCAGAAGTTCTAAGATGGAGGAAAGTGGGCTGATCCTGTTCTTCCTCCTTCTTCTTCCTCACCTCCATGTTCTTGGTGATGTTGGCACTCACAGATTGGTTTAGAGTAGAAAATCACCATTTAATATAGGTAATAGGCATTGGGGAAAACTGTAAACATGGAACACGTAATGTCCCATATAAAAGATAGAAAAGCACCATTTAATATAGGAAATAGGCATTGGGGAAAAACTGTAAACATGTAACACATAAGGTACCATATAAAAGATAGAAAATCATTTAATATAGGTAATAGTCATTGGGGAAAACTGTGAACATGTAACACGTAATGTACCATATAAAAGATAGAAAAGCACCATTTAATATAGGTAATAGGCATTGGGGAAAACTGTAAACATGGAACACGTAATGTACCATATAAAAGATAGAAAATCACCATTTAATATAGGTAATGGGCATTGGGGAAAAACTGTAAACATGTAACACATAAGGTACCATATAAAAGATAGAAAATCACCATTTAATATAGGAAATAGGCATTGGGATAAACTGTAACCATGTAACACGTAATGTACCATATAAAAGATAGAAAATCACCATTTAATATAGGTAATAGGCATTGGGGAAAAACTGCAAACATATAACACGTAATGTACCATATAAAAGATAGAAAATCACCATTTAATATAGGGAATAGGCATTGGGGAAAACTGTAGACACGTAACACGTAATGTACCATATATAAAATGCCTTGAGACCGAACAACAAGAGCCTGCGCAGTTTTTCTTTGGAAGCACAGCTTGGAGAAGAAATTTTACCACCAGATGAAACCCCAGAGCAAGCCCGGGGTTCTCACAATGTGTAGTATATATAATTCACACCATTTCTAATATGATCAATGTGATATTGAATATTTATTAGAGTATACACATTTGTATTAGTATTTCCCCCCAGCCCTCGCAGGCAAGACCGGGTGTTGTGGGTCTGATTCAGGCAAAGGAAGAAACTGGGATTTTCTAGCCAGGCAAAGGCCTGGGAAAGAGCTGGGAAAGAATGTAAATAATTCTTTATCTCTCTTGTTTTCACATTGTTCATAGTTAAGTTCTATCACTGTGCATCAAGCACTCTGAACCAATGGTGGTGGGTTGTTTTCACTTCAGAACCAATGGATTTGGTCCTTGCGGAGCTCTATATTAAAGAACAGGGTATTTTGAATAAAAATGGGAGTTTTATTCTCAGCAGCCTTCTGAGTCAGAGTTCTCTTCATTCCCCTCCTGCCTCGACAGCGACTTCAGGTATATTAGAAATGGATTTTCAAGTAAGAAGGTGCAGCTCCCCAGGAGATGAGATGGGCCATGGCTGGGGAGATACAGAAACCCCAGGTGCTGATCATGGCATAAACGACCCGAGATGGAAATCAAGGAAATCCTCGGGCAGATCCATGTGAATGCAGCCTTCCCATGAATCTCATCGGGGATTCAACAACTTCAGACACTGAATTGTTCCTCCTCATCACCAAAAAAAGAAAATCTTATTACCCTATGGACTCTGAATAAAAGACTGATTGCTGAAATCTTGGCCTCGGGCGGAATTTTCCCTATAAAATCCACATGTGCCAGGATGGAGGGGTGGGCACAGAGGAAACCTCTGCTGAGGCTGACTCCTTGTGGCACACCCAGGGCCGACCCGGGCTCGGCTCTGTTCTTTCCGTGTGGCTGCCCAGATAGAATTTGACTGCTAATAAAATTATTTTTTATTTTTAATCTGGCTGAATAAATTCTCATTTATAACAGAGCCATGTCGGGGCCATGTCGGGCAGTGAGCTGTGGGCGGGTCTCCCAGTTTAGGGCAAATTTGGGAGAAAAACCTCTGGAAGGAGCCCCCAAAAAACAAACCCACACGGCCCCTCCCCACCCACCTGGTTTGGGAAGAATTTCCTCGGAGAGAAGTGGAGAAGAAGCCGTTTATTTAACAAACAAAACACTCCCCAGCAGCAAAAATAAAAAATTAACAAGCAGATGACAGCAAAAACTCTTTCACCACTCTGAAAAGGTGACGAATCCAGGAAGTCTCTCCCGGGTCTGGGCGCTGGGGATTGCTCTGGGCACTGGGGATGGCTGCTGCAGATCACGGAGCGCAGGCTCTGGGTGCTCCTCGGGGTTCCCAGTCCCAGTCCGGAGCAGGTTGGATGGTATTCAGGGAAGGGAAAGGGAAAAAAAACAGTCCAGGGAAAAAATGGGACTGCTGAGCTAAACTAACAAGCAACAGCAAAGGCAAAAGCAGAAGCAAGTAAAGCAAAGCAAAGCAAAGCCAGCACCAGGCTCTTGTAGACAGCAGAGCAAGGGGAGGTGAGCCGGCTGATAACCAGAGAAACCAAACCTTCACTCTCCGAGTCGGTTCTGAAAGTTCAGAACAGAAAATCAGACATGAACAGGATATCAGACATACACAGAATATCAAATAAAAACAGAAAATCAGACATGAACAGGATATCAGACATACACAGAATATCAAATAAAAACAATATCAGACATGAACAGGATATCAGACATACAAAGAATATCAAACAAAAACAGAATATCAGACATGAACAGGATATCAGACATACACAGAATATCAAACAAAAACAGAATATCAGACATGAACAGGATATCAAACATACACAGAATATCAGACATACACAGAATATCAAACATACACAGAATATCAAACATGAACAGAGTATCAAACATACACAGAATATCAAACATGAACAGAATATCAAACAAAAACAGAATATCAAACATGAACAGAATATCAAACAAAAACAGAATATCAAACATACACAGAATATCAAATAAAAACAGAATATCAGACATACACAGAATATCAAACATGAACAGAGTATCAAACATACACAGAATATCAAATAAAAACAGAATATCAAACATACACAGAATATCAAACATACACAGAGTATCAAACAAACATACACTCAATATCAAACATGAACAGAGTATCAAACATACACAGAATATCAAACATGAACAGAATATCAAACATACACAGAATATCAAACATACACAGAATATCAAACATACACAGAACCCACGGCCGGGGACACCGGCGCCATGACGTCACCCCAGCACGGCCGGCCACGCCCGCCGTGGCCACGCCCCCATTGGCCACGCCCTCGTGGTTTGGCCACGCCCCTCGCGTCGGGCGCGCCATCTGCGGTCACGCCCCGTTCCGCCGTGGCCCCGCCCCTTCCGCCGGTGGCCCCGCCCCTCCCGGTACTTCCGGCGGCGGCGGCGGCGCGGCAGCGGCGGGCGGAGGTCCCAGGTCAGCGGGGACGGCGCTCCGCGGGCGGCAGGAGGGGTCAGGGGGCTTTTCGGGGTGGGCTGAGGGGTCAGGGGCCATTTGGGGGACAGCGTTGGGGTCGAAGTGCATCGGGAGAGGTGGGATGAGTCAGGGAGCATTTGGGGCACGGGGCTGGGGGGTCAGGGAACATTTGGGGCACGGGGCTGCAGGGTCCAGGGTATGATGGGCTGGGGGGTCAGGGAGCATTTGGGGCACGGGGCTGAAGGGTCCAGGGGATGGGATGAAGGGGTCACGGAGGAATTGGGGCACAGGCTGCGGGGTCCAGGTGATGATGGGCTGAGGGGTCAGGGAGCATTTGGGGTACAGGCTGCGGGGTCCAGGTGATGATGGGATGAGGGATTAGGGAGCATTTGGGGCACGGGGCTGGGGGGTCAGGGAGCATTTGGGGCACGGGGCTGGGGGGTCAGGGAGCATTTGGGGTACAGGCTGCGGGGTCCAGGGGATGATGGGCTGGGGGATCAGGGAGCATTTGGGGCACGGGGCTGTAGGGTCCAGGGGATGGGATGAAGGGATCAGGGAGCATTTGGGGTACAGGCTGCGGGGTCCAGGTGATGATGGGCTGGGGGGTCAGGGAGCATTTGGGGCACGGGGCTCCAGGGTCCAGGGGATGGGATGAAGGGGTCAGGGAGCATTTGGGGTACAGGCTGCGGGGTCCAGGGTATGATGGGCTGAGGGGTCAGGGAGCATTTGGGGCACGGGGCTGGGGGGTCAGGGAGCATTTGGGGCACAGGGCTGGGGGGTCAGGGAGCATTTGGGGCACGGGGCTGNAGCATTTGGGGCACGGGGCTGGGGGATCAGGGAACATTTGGGGCACAGGGCTGGGGGGTCAGGGAGCATTTGGGGCACGGGGCTGGGGGGTCCAGGTGATGATGGGATGAGGGATTAGGGAGCATTTGGGGCACGGGGCTGGGGGGTCCAGGGGATGGGATGAAGGGGTCAGGGAGCATTTGGGGCATGGGGCTGCAGGTCCAAGGGGTGGGCTGAGGGGTCAGGGAGCATTTGGGGTACAGGCTGCGGGGTCCAGGGTATGACGGGATGAGGGGTCAGGGAGCATTTGGGGCACAGGCTGTGGGGCCCAGGGTATGACGGGATGAGGGGTCAGGGAGCAGCCGAGGCGCAGACCCCCGGCGGGGCGGCGCGCCCCGGTTCCCCGCAGCCGCTCACCCCGTCCCTCCGCAGAGCCGCGGCCATGCTGCGGTGCCTGCGCCCCGTCCCGCGGCTCTGCCCGCGGCTCCGCCCGCCGCCGTGCCCGGCCCCGTGCCCGCCCCGGCGCTGCCTGGCCGCGGCCCCGGGCGCCCCGCGGCTGCCGCTGCGGCGGCGGCTGGCGGCGGCGGGCGCGGTGGCGGGCGCGGCGGCGGCGGGCTGGCTGTACGTGCGGCACGAGAAGCGGCGGCGGCAGCGCGCCCGCCGCCTGGCCGAGCTGCGGCGGCTGGCGCTGGGCCGGGGCGACTTCCAGCTGCGGGACACGGCGGGCGCGGCGCGGAGCAAGGCGGATTTCCTGGGCCGCTGGGTGCTGCTGTACTTCGGCTTCACGCACTGCCCGGACGTGTGTCCCGAGGAGCTGCAGAAGCTGAGCCGCGCCGTGGAGCTGCTGGAGCGCGACCCGGCGCTGCCGCCGCTGCAGCCGCTCTTCGTCACCGTGGACCCCGAGCGCGACGACGCGGCGGTGCTGGCGCGGTACCTGCGCGACTTCCACCCGCGCCTGCTGGGGCTCACCGGCACCACCGAGCAGGTGCGGGCGGCCGCCAAGGCCTTCGGCGTCTACGTCAGCACCGGGCCCCGCGACGCCGACGGGGACTACGTGGTGGATCACTCGGTGCTGACGTTCCTGGTGGATCCCGACGGCCTTTTCCGGGACTGCTACGGCCGCTCGCGCACGGCCGAGGAGCTGGCGCGCAGCGTCCGGGCGCACATGGACGCCTACGAGCCGCTGCCCCCCGCGGGAGCCGAATAAACGGCCGGGAGCCCGCCCCAGACAGCAGTCTGTGGTGGTTTGGGGGATGGGGAAGGGACAGGTGACGGCCACCAGTGTCCCCAGGTGTGTTCTGGGGGAGGGACAGAGCCCTGACAGCGCTCACACCCTGCAGGGTGGCACTTGGAGGGTTAGGGACACCTGACAGCCCCCAGTGTTCCCCAGGTGTGTTCTGGGGGAAGGGACAGAGCCCTGACAGTGCCCACACCCTGCAGGGGTGGCACATGGGGGTGAAAGGGACAGGTGACAGTCCCCAGTGCTCCCCAGGTGTGTTCTGGGGGAGGGACAGAGCCCTGACAGCGCCCACACCCTGCAGGGGTGGCACATAGGGGTGAAAGGGACAGGTGACAGTCCCCAGTGCTCCCCAGGTGTGTTCTGGGGGAGGGACAGAGCCCACACCCTGCAGGGTGGCACTTGGGAGGATTAGGGACAGGTGACAGTGTCCCCAGGTGTGTCCTGTGTGAAGGACAGAGCCCACACCCTGCAGGGTGGCACTTGGAGAGTTAGGGACACCTGAGAGTCCCCAGTGTCCCCCAGGTGTGTCCTGTGTGAAGGACAGAGCCCACACCCTGCAGGGTGGCACTTGGAGGGTTAGGGACAGGTGACGGCCACCACTGTCTCCAGGTGTGTCCTGTGATAGGGACAGAGCCCACACCTTGCAGGGTGGCACTTGGAGAGTTAGGGACACCTGACAGTCCCCAGTGTCCCCCAGGTGTGTTCTGGGGGAGGGACAGAGCCCGTGCCCCCCCAAAGTGTGTCACATCATGGGGAGGGGACACCTGACAGCCCCCAGGAGTGGTCTGGGGTGAGGGAGGTTTTCAGTAGGCAGGTGGAGGGACCTCTAGGTGTGTCCTGCGAGGGGGAGAACGTGGGTGAGTAGGTGGAGGGACCCCCACAGCCCCCCAGGAGTGTCCCATGGGGCGGGGGGCTCTGTGTAGGTGACTGAAGTGACCCCCCCCACCACCCCTGTAGCCCCCCAGGCCCCTCCCCACAATCCCCGTGCGGCCAAATCCCCGTAACCCCCTCCCCAGCACCCCCTAGGGAAGTGCAAAGCGGGGGGGTTGTTTATTTAGGGTCGGGGTCTCTCTGGGAGGGCAGCTGTAAGTTCTGGAACCTCTCGTGCGCCGGGCGGGCCGTGAGCCGCCGCAGCCGCGCCGTGTCCAGCGCCTGCTCCAGCCCCGCGTCCTGCGCCAGCTCCACCTCGGCGTCGTTGGCCTGCGGAGGGGACAGGGGGTGGCCGGGGGTCCTGGCGCAGCCAGCGAGCCCCCCCGGGAGCCCCCAGAGCCTTACCAGCTGCAGCGAGGCCAGCAGGTAGCGGCACACCTCAAACGGGGGCTGCCCGGCCACCAGGCTGGCCAGAGAGTGCCACTGGCCCAGCTCCGCACAGCGCTCGGTCAGCTGCAGCCTGTAGGCGTGCACGTCGAAGGGGACACGGGACTCCTGGGGACAGCGAGGGACAGGGAGGGTCACTGGTCAATGCCAGCCTGGAGGCGTGCACGTCGAAGGGGACACGGGACTCCTGGGGACAGCGAGGGACAGGGAGGGGACAGGGAGGGTCACTGGTCAGTGCCAGCCCCTAGGCTTAGATACTGAACAGGACACGGGTCTCTTGGGGACAGCGAGGGGACAGGGAGGGTCACTGGTCAGTGCCAGCCCGTAGGTGTGGACGTCGAAGGGGACACGGG